GCTCTTCTCTGTTCTGAAATTCTTTTCTTCTCTTTCTTTTTTTGTTATTTCTCACCTCTGGTTTTTCTCTGAGTGTTCGTCTTTTTGTTGTTGTCGGTCTCTTGGGGAGATTAAGCGTTGGAACTCGAACTCTCTTTTTGGTTGGAGAGAGCTGTGGCGGTTCCCTACTGCCCCGTCGCCATCTTGGTCCCCCCTCTCTATCACTCTTTGAAACTACCTTTCAAGAAATGTAGTGGTCACACATTTCTGTCCTCATTTTATTCTGTGCCTCCTGGCAGCTCATGAGGACACTTGCACACTCCATCATTCACATATAAGTATACTCACACACATGTAAACTCTCACATGTAAGTATGCTATGAAGGTGCACTCACAATGTAGATCCTCATGCACACATAGGTATGCTCACACACATACGTCTTTGGATGCATTTGTTTTCTGTCACCATAAATAGAATCATGACATGATTTATCCTTACTAGATCCAACAGTTGGAGAAGGGTTCACCTGGAAAGCTGAAAGTATTGGCGAAATCCACTGAAGGACCAGAGACCATCGAAGGAGTATATAACACAGTGAGTTTTTGTTTTATAAGCAGTATGTGAATGAACACACTCAGAAATTAGCAGAAATTGAACCTACAGAACCTCCATACTGTGATGAATGTTTATTCTTTGGGAGAGTATATAGATAGGGAGAAGAGCTCTTAGTGGTTTCATAAAGAATACCATGAGGTCATCGGATGACCTCCATTAAGCCAGTTTGTTCCTCTTAGAGTAGAGCTGGGGGTTGGGAGACTGCCAGTTGAACCACACTCCTAATCCCATGGGGAGAAGCTGGACTTCCTCCTTGCCACTGAAGTGTTCATGCAATTCTGAAAGAATGCGGGCTTTGGCTCCAGTTGCACAAATGCCAATGCAGAAACACAAGAAATAGGAAAAAGCAAAAGTCAGTAGTTCCACAAAAATGGACATTCAATACTGAAGTAAATGAAACCCCAAAGCACTCAAAAGAACAATAATAGGAATGATCTAGGTCAAAAATGACACAATTAAGCACTTAAATTCATTGAAAAAACTGCATTTTTCCATTTGTAAAGTTTATAAATAAACAATGGAATGAAATAAGATAATGGAAGATGTGAAAGAGAATTTCTGGGGGAAAAATTAAAATTTAGAATGAAAAGCTTAACAAGTCAAATAAAATTCAGTTGAAATCCTTATCAATAGACTAGAATAAATAAAAGACTATGGGGGCATGAAGAAAAGGTAGATGAATTATAGTGTTCAGATACCATTAAGAAAACCAGAAAAGTACAAATGGAACATATAACTAGACCATTACTGAAAGACATAACTTACAAGTTATAAGCATAAAAGATGGTGTAGTCAACAGAATACTAGTAGAAAACCCAAATCTTGAGAAGAGATGGTTATTCAGGAATAGAGACTGGAGTACCAGACAAGGCCAGGCAGAACCTGGTCTGAACATTCAATGTTTTTTGTTCTGTATTTTCAATCTTAAGACAGCCCCATAACATTGGGCATACAGAATAAAGAATATTGAAAGCTGCAAAAAGGAAGCACAAGATGCCTATATCCCAGTAGAAACTCTAAAAGGGATGAGGGCAGGAAATGATGTTTCAAGCCTTGAAAGAAAATAACTGCCAGTCTAGATTACTGTATCCAGATTAGTGAATGAGACACTAAACCTTACATGATAAAAACGGGAGCAATTCATGAGCATGAGCCACACTACAGATGATATTTCAAAGAAGCCTACCACAGAAGAAGAGAAATACAACCATGAGAATGTGGGGGAGAACAAATCTCGGTAGAAGAACAAGCAACTAAGTACCAGGGATGAATCAGGAATTAGTATAGTTCAATACTAACTCTGAGTGCTAATAGTCTCAGTTCTCCAAATAAAAGACATAGACAGGAGGATTGGATATTTTTAAAAAGGCTGGGCACTGGTGGCTCATGCTTGTAATTCTAGCTACTCGAGAAGCTGAGATCTGAGGATTTCAGTTTGAAGCCAACCGAGGCAGAAAAGTCTGTGAAATCTTTTTTTTTTTTTTTCCCCGGTCTTGTGGCCTGAACTCTGGGCCTGGACGCTGTCCCTCAGCCCTTCAGCTCAAGGTGAGCGCTCTGCCACTTGAGCCACAGCACCACTTCTGGCTTTTTCTGTGTATGTGGTGCTAAGGAATTGAACCCAGGGCCTCATGCATGCAAGGCAAGCACTCTACGACTGAGCCACCTTCCCAGCCCAGTCTGTGAAATCTTTATCTCCAATTAACTACTAAAAAGCTGGAAGTAGAGCTGTTGTTCAAGTGGTAGAACACACACACACAAGACCCAATCCCTTGTTGCCTACAAGAAATGTACCTTACTGGCAAAGACAGACTAAAAGTGAAAGGATGAAAAAAGATGCTCCAAGAAAAGGGAATTCAAGAGAAAGCAAGAGTGGCTATATGTATATACTGTATACATATGCTCACGTAGTTAAAAACTGAACATGTGGGTGTGGAGCCTCAAGTTATAGTCCTAGCTCCCTGGGATGTGGAGATCTTGGTTCCATGATAGCTCAGGCAAAAACAAGTTCACAAGACCGCACCTCTACCGATGGCTGGGAGAAGTGGCATGCACTTATTTTCTCAGCTGGGGGGCAGCACATGGGGCTGGACACATGCTGTCATCCTCAGCACAAGTAAGCTGTCCTAGGGAACACCTGTGTGCACTGTGCTCAAGACATGCCTGTGTGGCTTCATACCTCTGCTTATAGTCACTTGCACTTGAGCTTAGCCCTTCAACGCATAGGTTTTGAGGGACACACAGGCTCACGTGGACTTCTATCATAAACCTTTGGAGGAGTGTTCACCTAAGCTGACAAACATGCTGGTACAGGTTGCTTATAATACTTATGGCCAGCCCTTTAGCAACAGAAAGTATCTATAGTGCTGTCCCTTATTTCTCTATTTTTTAAATTTCTTCCTAAACATAGGTTTTGTTAGCAATTGGTCGTGACTCATGTACAAAGAAAGTAGGCTTGGAGAAGATTGGTGTCAGAATCAACGAGAAGTAAGTGTGTGAATGAGCACAGGGCTGTGGTGGGTGGACACACTGCACACTGCACTGCAAAGCACAGCTTTGTCACACCTCCTCTTAGGTTGCTCAGTTAGAAGATATAAAATGTTCAGGCTTTAAATTCTCCTTGTAGTCAGGACTATGCCAACTCTGTACTCTGGTTTTTTCAGTCAGTCACGCTTACTATGTGCCTTAAAGAGTACATGTATCTGACAGCTGTTTAAATACAGATTAAATATATTTGTGGAAATATATGATGCAGTGTCTGTAAGAATGAATTCTGATGGTACTGACTAATGAAAAAGAGCCTGAAGATCCAGTGGGACATGGGAAGAGCTGGTGGTGAGCCTTGGCACCCAGAAGTGTGCGTGCTGGACCACAGAGGCACTGCCTTTTGGAATGATGGAAACCCTGGTTATTTTAAGGTGTTGATCTTAAATTAATAGAGATTACTGTTAGCCCGAGGTATGTGAGTTCTCAAATGAAGGAGGGCTTTCCGTTGTGTAGTTCTTCATATGGAATGCTACCAGTCAGCAGTACCGTTAGTCACAGATTTCCTTTCCTTGTCACACACAACCAGGAGTGGTAAGATACCAGTGAATGATGTGGAGCAGACCACTGTGCCCTATGTCTATGCTGTTGGGGATGTCCTGGAGGGCAGGCCGCAGCTCACTCCAGTAGCCATTCAGGCAGGCAAGCTGCTGGCTCGGAGACTCTTTGGGACCTCTCTGGAAAAGGTAACATTATTCCAGGTGCTAATGGTGTCCTTGTTCTCTGTGAAGCTGGAACCTTGTGCGCTTCTCCCCTGGCCCTGAGGTAATATCTGGACGTTGAGACTGAACACAGCAGCACAAGTAATGCTTATGCAATCACTTTCCAAGTGAAGGTTTCCCAGAGATGGATTTGCAGCTGGCTCACTGTTGAGTAGTTACTTTACACAAATATGGCTGAGTTTCTCTCTGTCCAACATGGTGCACTGATTTCATTAAGACCACCATGGTCCGGCCCTACAGCTTACCAGTTTGTTGGTGGTCATGAGTCAGACAGCATGATGAATAGTAAGGCAGAAATGAGTATGTGCCATAAGCCAGTTGCTTTTGGGCCATGGGGAGGACACTGCGCTGTCACTGCAAAAGGATGGGGAAAGGCTTCCTCTGTACATGCAGAAGGGCCCTCAGCGTGGCCAGGGGCTTCAGTGCCTGCTTGGGGAGACTTGGTCAGACCTCTGTCACCACTGCTAGGCCAGTGCTGTGGGTCCAGTGGTTTGCAGTGTTCATATTCTTTGTGTTCTTGGGATAGGCTTTGTAGGATGAGCAGATCAACATTAGGGTAGCAAGGATTTTTCTGAAGGTCAGTGGTCCAGGTAAGGGCATGGAGTCTGCAACATATGGTTTGTCTGAGGACTGTGGTCACCTCGTGGCAGTCTCCCAGTGCAGACGAGAACATGGGATGTGTGCTGTGGGCATTGCTAGCAGGGCCAGGCATGTCACAGGAAGGGAGGGCTGAGAACCGTGATGTAGGTGGTATGTTGAGGAGTTTGTACACAGAGTAGGCAGGAGTGGGCGGGAAGCTGTCCCGGTGTGAGGAGCTGGCAAAGACCTTACTTCTCCCAAGTTTTCCTTTAGACGCAGGAAGGGTGGTAAAACCTCTGCCCGTATTAACCCAGTGACTAGTCTGCCATTTCTGCTCACTCCTTTTCTGATACATGTGAACATAGATATTGTGCATGTACTCTTTCCTCTTCTTTTGGCTGAGCTTTTTGAAATGGCGACATCAATGGTGCCTTGCCCGCCCCTTGTACTTTTTTTTTTTTTTTTGGTCATGGGGCCTGGGTGCTGTACCACAGATATTCAGCTCAAGGCAAGCGCTCTACTGCTTGAGCCACAGTGCCACTTGCAGTTTTCTGTTGGTTTATTGGAGATAAGAATCTCATGGACTTTCCTGCCCAGGCTGGCTTTGAATCGAGATCCTCAAATCTCAGCCTCCTGAGTAGCTAGGATTACAGGTGTGAGCCACCAGCACCTGACTTGCCCCTTGTACTTCTGTCTGTGAGTAAAAGCTCACTGCATCATATGGCACCTGAGAAGGACAGCCATGTCTCTCTCCATGGAGAGAGACAGACAGACAGACAGAGAGACAGTGTGTGTGTGTGTGTGTGTTGGTTCACCTGCCACCATTGCCACTTAACAACCTTCTAAGTCCCTTTAAATCTGATAGTCCTACTACCTTTTGTAAATGTTTGTAATAGTTTTTTTCAGAAACACTGTCACAAAATAGGAGAATGTGATTTGTTGTCTTCCAGTGTGATTACACGAATGTTCCCACCACAGTGTTTACCCCTCTGGAGTATGGCTGCTGTGGACTATCTGAGGAGAGAGCTATTGAAGTTTACAAAAAGGAGAACATGGAGGTAAGATCCTGTGCCTTGTTTGCCTCTTGAGCTCTTCCCTTTAACCCCCCCTCCTCTTGCAGCCCTTTCTGTCTGGTCATTTTGTAAGTTGCTATAATGGCTACATTATAGAAGATGACATTTCTATTTCAGGAGAATTCAAATTAATCTTTTGTGCAAAATAATTAAAGAACTCCAACTGGGGAGAGGGTCTACAAGTGGGGATTTAGAAGCAACAAGTCTGCAAGGCTCTGAGTTCAAGACCCAGTGCTGGCACACACAAAAAGAAGAACATATCCTTATATTAAAGAACTGAATCTGAAGACTGAAGTAACAGTTCCAGGAGAGATTGGTGGAGCACAACTATCAGTCTGTCTCTGTGATTGGTCTTTGGGAATGTAGGCAGAGAACCTCCTCAGACCTCTCTTGGCAGTGTTCAGTGCCAAACACAACAAATGATGTCTGTTGACTTTTGACATGCATTGGTACCCAAGTTCAAGTCCTTGCGCTGCCCAAAGGAGCAACAGCCGCCCTGCCCTTGCCTTCTAGGTGTATCACACTTGTTTTCTAGGTGTATCATCCTTGTCTTTTAGGTGTATCACAATTGTCTTCTAGGTGTATCACACTTTGTTCTGGCCCCTGGAGTGGACAGTAGCTGGCAGGGAAAACAGCGCCTGTTACGCAAAGATAATCTGCAACAAATGTGACCACGTACGTAGCCAGCCTGGCACTCTCACTTATAGGGCTGGGGTTGAACACAGTGGGTTCCACCATGGAGCCCACCCCTCCCCCCAAGGGCTGGCATTTAAAAGCAGAGATTTGTTCCTAGCAAGAGGGCTTTAGTCTCTTTAGAGCCACGCTTTAGGACAAGAGTTCTCAGAGCCATGGCAGAGGTGGACGCCAGTGCTCTGGGGCTTCTCCTGGGCTTGCTGTGCATTAGGCTTGTCAGTATAGAGCGAACCTTTTGGTAGTTACCTGTGCATCCCAGGCCACGGTGGCCTGGGGACTGTTGCTGCCTGAGGTCAGCTGGCCCATGGCCCTTCCAGTACTGTCATCACTATTGAAGATGAACAAGGCCCGAAGCTGATGAGAAAGTACCAGTGAGTTGTGAGCCTGTAGCATACTGTGACCCTAGAAATGCATATTCTCTCGCGTCCTATCACCCAGCTCTGCGCTCGCATCCGCCGGCATCCCCACACACAGACTAGGGTGCTGGCTTCCTGGTCACTGCTTTGTGTGCGGAGCCAGGCACAACTCCCTGCCGTGGCTGGCTGCCTTTTTAGTGCGGCTGGGACCTTAGAATGATGGCACTGTTGGAGTCGAATCCACCTCTGCTGTGGCGGTGCTCAGCATTATCTCAGCATCATTCAGACATTTACATTAGACGGATGGATTCCTCTGTGCTGAGTAAATGGCTTGTTCTAGTAAATTGGAGTGCAAATTAGCACTAGGTGAGCATTTCCTGGTTCATTTAGTAGAGTTTTAGAGTCTGCTTCCATGGAACGTTCTCTTCTTACCTCAGCAAAGCACTAAGAGCTGTTTTAGGGGGTATTGTGAACCTGAGGCCAACCCCGAACCTCTGTGTCCTCCTGTTCTCTTTGTATCAAGGATCGCATCGTAGGACTTCATGTTCTTGGACCGAATGCTGGTGAGATCACCCAGGGGTTTGCAGCCGCCATGAAGTGTGGGCTCACGAAACAGCTGCTCAGTGACACCATCGGGATCCACCCCACATGTGGGGAGGTAAGGGGTAGGAGGCCATGCGGTTGCTTATAGCTGGTGTTGTTTGCAAACCTATTTGAAAGCAGGTTATCAGAGATTTGTAGAGTAGCGTGTATGTCTCTCTCTCTCTTTCTCTCTCTCTCTCTTTTGTCGGTTGTGGGGCTGGAACTCTGGGCCTGGGTGCTGTCCCTCAGCTCTTCAGCTCAAGGCAAGCTCTCTCAACTTGAGCCACAGCACCACTTCCGGTTTTCTAGTGGTTTATTGGAGATAAGCGTCTCACAGACTTTCCTGCCCGTGCTGGCTTTGAACTGTGTTCCTCAGATCTCAGCCTCCTGAGTAGCTAGGATGACAGGCATGAGCCACTGGCGCCTGGCTACGTGAGTGTCTCTTAAAGCAGCAGTGGTGGTCATGTCTCCGTGTGTTCACTGTACGTTCTTCCTTTGAGCAGGTATTCACAACTCTGGAAATTACAAAGTCATCGGGCCTAGACATCACCCAGAAGGGCTGCTGAGGCTAGCCCGCTGCTGCCGGCCCTCCTTCCCTTCTCCACTCTCTGAAGACCAGATGCCCTGTGCCCTGGACACTGTGGGCACAGAGTCTGACAGAGATGAGAAGAGGACAGGAGACGGCAGCAGCGGCCCAGCCCTGGCTGACGGCAAGCAGCAGGAGGACTGCGCCCTTGACGCCCTGGCCCCGAACCTGCACCCAGGTGAGCCGCGGCCGACTCTTGCACGTCAGACCTGAACTCCTCCAAGCCCTTAGGATGGACAGTTAGCCACATTGCCTTTTGTCCCTGCGGGAGTCCCTGCGCTCTCTCTTTGCATGTCCCTGGAGATACTCTGGTGGAACTGACAGTCATGGAGCAACTTCCCAGCATCTGGGCCTGGCCCATGCCAGTCCATGGCTTCTGGGAGACACACTCGCCACTGCAAGAACACCGTGTGCTCCGCATGGGCTCTAGTCAACTGTAGAATGCAGCCTTGCAGTGCATTTCACCTGCTGTCAGTGTCCCGACTTGGGCCCGCCAGATGCCTGTGCTGGAGCCTTGAAGCCCTTGCCTGCCTGAGTGTTGCTGGCGGGAGGCGCTCCGGTCAGAGAAGCTCCTTTCACCTTGACCTCAGGGTACATTAAAAAGTTTTCAGTACCATACTGTGAGCCGCTCTGTGGAGTCAAGTCAGCAGAGGAGCAGGGGCACTGGTTTCCAGGGCCCGGGGGAGGGGCCTCGCTGGTTCTCTTGGGAACCTGGGCATCCCGGACTGGGGCTTTCCCAGGAGCCCTTGCTCTGGTGGCACTCGAGCTGGCTCACTCAGCCCAATGCAGAGTCCTGCCGTCAGAATCCCTAGGCATAAAACATTTAAACTAGCAAGCACCCGCGGAACACCACGGCCATGGTGTCCGGCCGCCCTCTCGGGAGCCCACACGGATACAGCAGGTTGGATGGTGGTGGTGGGGGGGGTGGATGGAGCAGGGGTGGATGGGGGGGTGGATGGAGCAGGGATGGGTGAAGGAGGGGAGGTGGATGGGGGGTCGGGGGTGGAGCGGGGTGGGGCCAGGAGGAATCTGGCTGGGGATGCTGGTGGTGAGTGGCCTCCTTCTGTGGGGGAAGGAGGATGGGTGTGACTAGCAGGGAGGGCCCTGGGTGGGGAGGGCAGGGGCCGGGTGGGACGCGGAGCGGAGCAGTCTGAGGCCCCGGACACGTTCTGTGGATTCAGTAAAGCGTGAACGCCGTGCTACCCAGCGGCCCCTGGCGCACACAGGCCGGCTCTCCCGAGCCCCCATCCAAGGGGCCCAGGATGTCCCGTCCCGGAGACCCTCTGGCTGCGTGGAGAGGGCGCCCTGGGCCGGGATGCGGGCCAGCTCCCGCCCGCGGGGGGCCTCCCCGTCTCAGCCGTGAGCACCGCGTGCGGCGTCTGCCCCGCGCTTGCTGGTG